TCTGCCGCAACATGTGCAGATTGTAAGATATTAGCAGTTGTATAATCATCTCTCTTCGAGTATCTTGGACACACCTCGAATTGCGTAAGTCGCTTTCGCCTAAGCCTATCCAACATTGATCTGAACATTTCCGTATAACCATATGCGAATCCGCCAGAAATCACCTGCTTACATACCACCTAATGGCCAAATTGCGTTAACCTTGATGAGAGGAAGAGGGTATTAGGATTGAAGATTTACAAGGCGGCAGGTTGCGCCTTGCTCTTTTATTTGGGCAGTATGGCTTGGCGTTAAGATCAAGTTCTGCTTGCGCTTTTTTCTCTGAGACATGTAAAATAATTTTGATAGAAATCGGACCGATGCTGTATTTGGTATACTTGGAAACAATATGATCAGATTATTTTTGCCACAACTAGTGGTAGTACTGACGGAGCCGTAAGAAATATAGCTGCGGAGATCGGACGGGATCCGGCGGTCTCTTCTTCATATGGTCGTAGTATCGCGGTCAAAGAGGTGTCCGCTTGCTTAGGGGATGGGATTGCTTCACAAAGTCGATTGCTCCGGCTTTTTCTAGTTGACCTTGCGTTTAGAAGCTACAGCTGAATAGAGCGCGCTTGGATATCTATATCGTGTCAATCTGAAGCTAAACAGACGCTTACTGAATTTCTCACCGAGTCATTTGTCGACATTCCAGTCTGAAATTCTATCAACACCATCCTGTAAACGAAACACCTCTTTCTCCAATTCCACTCCTCTCAAATCCTCCATTTCTTCCTCTCCATCCCTTCTTCATCATCAAAATATGCCAGTTCGTTGTAATTATAGCCTTCCTCCTCGACATGTCGTTTACTGGATTTTTGCTGTGCTTTGCGTTCAGTGGGAAACGTGGTAGAAGAGAAAGTTTTGAAAGAGCAAGATAAAAGTAACATTGATGAGAGATGAGAGAGGAAAAAAAAGAATGTGTCAAGCAAGAAAAAAGGGTAAAGTGAGTAATCAGATTATGAAGAAGAGAATGGTTTCATCAATATAACATCTCTGTACTTCCTTTATGTCTTTTTCATCAGCCCTTTCTGATTTTTTCTCAATCAATCAGCCCTTTATCGTTCTCTCATCAAACTTTTATGTTTCTATTTTCCTTTTCGCATCTTTTTATTTCTTAAAACAAGTTTTAATACTGATCCTTTTCATTGACACCCCGTTTTCCTTACTATGCCTATTGACCAGCCTTGCATTACGAAAGCAGTGCCTGTTTTCAGTATTGCTATGATTGGGGGAGACTTGTCATAGAGGAAAACAAACATTTTGAACGATTGTAGTGGTTGTGATATACCTGTACAAAATACCATAACAAGAAATAAACCCTTCTATTCTGCTTTCATTCCTATCGCCATGTCGCACTGTTTTGAGTCCTCCAATTTCATATTGGTTGATTGGGGAAGAAGCGAAGACAAATCGAAAGGTGTGAAAGATAATGAGTATATCATTCTACTGAACCATTAATAATATCAAAATCTTCGACTGACTGATAGCATAAAGGCTGGTTAGACTACTAGCCATAATGCCATCAACATTGTTGTCATGAGTGCTTGTGTAATATACATGAATTGTATGCGTTTGATTTGGGGCTCCGCGCTTAGATGGCAGGGGCTGTTTCTGAAAGCAGGCGAAATCCTTCTCATTTCTCTAATGTTGAACTCAAATGTTGCACATGATGGAAAAGATCGCAAATACCCATGCCCACTTTACTCATTGGGGACTGATATCAGAAACAGCCTTCGGCGACATATAACGCGTATGCATTCTAACGTGGATATTGGTCCTGGAGCGAAAGGACATCGCACTGATAGTGATTCGAAAATAATCTTGAAACACTTGCTGCTAAGGAAGAAGTTACACTATTCAATGTTATACTGTTAAAGATATCTACGGTCGAAGAAGAGGCTGAAGAATCTGTGAACTTTTATGGGTGCGCTATTTGCCAACTCCGGTTTTCGTACCGTGACGAACTCAAATATTACTATGAACATATTCATAAAGGTAGGATGACTAATTTCATAGTTAGTTGTGTTGTCTTATGCTAATATTGTATGTACTTTTGAAAAATCGAAGTATTAATGTATTATAGTCCTGCTTACGCCGGATGTTGCTGAAAAATTATACCTTTTACAACAACATGACAGCCAGTATGCTTCATTCGGTGATTTTCGAAAGTGGAAGTTGAAAAGTGGAAGAAAAGCGGAAGATGTGCTACATGGATTTGCGCTCCAGTCCAATAACGAGCATGTAGCGCATTCATTCATCATCAATCCAATGGATGATACTTGGTTGCAGCTTAGCATTTTCACAAAAGAAGAAGTGCACGGAATTGCGACTCATAACTGTACCAAACTTCTGTTACTTCCAAGTGATCTTGCTGCCTTCATTGATGAGTTTAACTTGAAAGATCAACAAGAATACGCAAAATCCTATGGAGACAAAGAGGCTTTGACGTTGCTTACGACAGGAGGAAGTCGTATGACAAGGACTGAGTCCGCAATGTTGTACATAGTGTGATGATGGAGATAGAAGGCTCTCAAGTGTCTCGGGGACATTTGGAATCATGGTATATCACTCATATATGGAGTGCCTTTGACAGGTGCTTCGGTGGTCTTGATGGAGTCTCTGTAATTAGAGGATAATCTGCCAGCATAGCTTCTGGTGTTCACCAGAACGGAAATCGGATTGCAGCTTCAAAAACCTTTATGAAGCGTCAAATGATGGGTCACCGCGCAGATTTTTTGATACGAAAGTTGCAAGTGGAGTATGCCTTGGAGAGACAGGAAGAAGTTACACTAGCGAAGAAGATACCGAGCTATTATTGGAGCGCAACTTGAAGATGACAAAAATGATGAAAGACCAGTTACTCCAATTCTTCAAATTATGCGATAATGATGAGACTATCATTAAAAGGTTGGCCGTACCAGGGATTTTGCAGTTTGGACTCCATACATTGATGCTAATATGGATTGCCCCCACAGAGTATGTCTGCCGAGTGTTGCCTACTCCGACCTACGAGCAACTACACGTTTCTTGTGCTTCCCAACGTTATACAGCTCACACGCCCAGACTTTATTCGACCATCAAATGCTCTGATTTTAGGAACAGACTGCGACAAAGATGCAGTGATTAAGGTTGTGGGGACATTCTGGGCTGCGCTCAGACATAATTTACCATCAACAACTCTGATCTTACGAGCAGACTGCAAAAAGATGCAGTGATTAAGTTGGAAGGGACATTGTGAACAACAGTAAGAATTTCGAAGGACTTACGCTCTTATTCAAAACGTGTACAATATGTAGTTCGTTTCAGCGAAACAACGAAGCTTCACAATCCCCTTCATTATCAGATGGATTGGGTCAAGCGTCAGGCAAGACTTTGATGGACCATGTGATTATGTTTGGTTTGGACATGTATACTAATGATTGAGTTATATCTCGATAGATGTGCGCGTAAAAAAAGATATGGCCATGAGTCGCCAACAGGAGGTGAATCAATCCGGCGGCATCGAAACTTGCTTGAGGAGTTCAAGACCAATCTGGAGCAAATCCTTTTGATGATGATGACGACCCACTTATCTCCGTTCCTACCGACTTTGGCTTCGAATTTAAGCGTGAAAGTGAAGAAGAATGGATTCTGTATGGTGATGACGTCTGGGACACTATCTACCAGTACCAAAATGCGAGTCTCAGATACTTACGCCAGAAGACTGCCATTAACGTGAACATGGAAAGGATACTATCATTGTCTTCCATCATTTTACTCAGGGATCAAAGCACGATATTTGATGGCAGCTCAGACCCATCGCAGCTCAGAGAGGCTATTTAACTTGAACAATTAAGTGCACTGCAGACGGAAATGAATGAGGATGAAAAATTTGATTTGGAATCGCATCGGTATACTGCACATGTTTTCAAAACTAGCCTGGACTGCTGTGAAAATTTTGCCAAGTCCTTGTAACAACCCCTTCAATATTTCGAATAGCATATCGACAGTGTATTTGCATACAGGAGTAATTTTCTGTCGAATTGAAAAATTCTCTAGAAAATTCGTGAAGTCCATCGGACTTCCAAACATGAGCCTAGAGATGCTGTGATCAGTTCTTCTTTATTCGCGAAATTTCCAGCTAAATTTATATATAAAAGGATAATAAACTATAAATATGAGTCCTAAGTGTAAACTATTGATCTTTCTTCTTTCGCCGGTCATAACCGCTTTGAAGATACTAGATGGAATCTCAAGACTCTCATATTGCTATAGACGCTATCGCTGAGCAATTGGCTCATCTAGGTCAACTTATCCAACAACTCTTGGCACAGGTACAGCCTCAAGTAGTTTCTTCCCCGGCTATGGTGTCGTCTCAGCCGAATTTACATGAACTACCAGTACGTCCCAGTTACGAATGGCAACCTGACCAGACCCTCTTGCAACGAATACCCTCTCTGTCCAGTTCATTATTTCACCAAACTCTCCCCGATACGGACCGACGTAACATTGTGAAACGCTACCCTACCATTCAAGGTGTGAAATATTCACCTCCAAACACTGTCCCAGAAGCCCTCAAAAAGTTTAACAAAGGTCAACTAAGAGAAGACAACACACTTCGTAACCTACAATACACGGCTTCTGCTATTGCACGCCCTTTTGACGTCCTTTGCCACACGCTTCAGCCTCTTATACCTCCCGAGCAAACCGACAGAGTGTATGCCATTTTGAATGACGTCCGAACGCTCCTGTTACACCTATGTGGCTCCCTTAACACCGCCAGAAACAATCTTGCACTACGGGCAATCAACCCCTCCTTCCAAGTCCCTTCGGAAAACGGGATGGATTTTACCATGGAGCCAAAAAAGTTTCAAGAAGCTTTATCACACAACACCACAATTCAAAAGACAATTCGGGACGCATATCCAAAAAGACAAAAGCAAATTTGTCACGGGGACACCGTTCACGGCGGCGGGGGGAGTTCTCCGTCAACCATAGCCAGCTGGAATAATCAACGACGATTCAAAAACAACAACAACACCGAAAACCAAACCCGTTTTCGATCATACAACCAGAATCGATTTCGAACCAACCAAAATACCAACACCAATAAAGACAGCACGATAACTCAGCAGTAGGTGGCCGCCTACAACGCTTCTACACATCATGGACTCGGCTTACCGACAGCAAATGGGTCCACTCGGTTATCAAAGAAGGCTTCAAAATCCATTTCCGACAACAACCTCCAACCTCCTCACACACGCTTCCAACAATACCTTACAATTTAGAACAACGACAACTAATCAGGAAAGAGATAGCAGATTTACTACAAAAACGGGCCATCGCACCGGCATCGGAATCTCCAGGGTTTTCCGAATGTTCGTCATTCCAAAGAAAAATGGTGGTTACCTACCAGTCATCAATCTTCGAGCCCTCAACCATTACGTACAAACACCCATTTCAAGATGAAAAGCTTACAACAAGTTATCAAGCTTGTTCAAAAGAACGATTACTTTACCTCCATAGATCTTACCATCGCCTTTCTCGATATTCTCATCAACATTATCAATTTCGTCCTTAGGCTATAGGTTCTCCAAAGCTGTACGCTGGAGTAGCATTTCTAGGCTCATGTTTGGAAGTCCTCCGGACTGAACTATAAAAATTAGCTCTTGCTGCTTTGAACATGCATATACATAAACATGGCTATTATTTTTCTTTTGCATATATTTTATGGTATAAAGCTTTGCGATTCGGTATATCAAATTGATGGTAAACATTTAGAAAGAGTGGTCGGCTGGTAATCTCATTGCGAAGCGGAAAAACAAATGCAATACGTAATTGGTTCAATACTTCGATGAGCAAGTGGAGTATGACTCTATATTCCACCGCAACCATGCCAGATCTCAGACTTAAATATAACCATAGAAAACAGCAGGTTTTTACTCTCACCTCATTGATTATGCATTCAGCACTTTAGAAAAGCACGGCCAGTTAGATAAGCGTATTATAACCTCATATAACGTAATTGCATACTCAACCCAAACGGACGGGCACAGTCTGCTTTGAAACTGTTGCAAAATTCGACACATGGTGTAAAACCTAACCCAACAATTTCTCGGCCAATCCTGGTACTAGCTGACAAAATAAATGATGTATAAACCACGGTATGGGAAAATTGTAACTAGAAAGCAACTTTATTCTTCAACTGAAATTGAACGGATAGTTTGCAACCATCATGGCCGATTCTATAGAGTAGTTTCCAAACCGCCATCGACGCTGGCAAGATCAACGGAGCTGTTCTTTGTGCCACCGAAGCTGAGGGCCGCCTGGTTTACGAAAAGGCTATGAGCGAGCGCACACTACTGTCTGGCGAGGTGCGTTCACAAAAGCTGGAAGACGTGCTTTTCTCTCCTACTCCAGTCTCCGTCCTTTTTCTTCTTCCTTCATTCACATTTTCACTTGACAAGAGCAACGAGGCTTACTCGCTTCGCTGAGTGCAATGGGAATTCCAAGTTTGGCATGAAGAAGAAAGTATTGGCTCTTACTTTCAGAATGGAGAATCTACCTTAGGAAAAATGCTGTATTCCTTACGGTAGCTTCTTCTTATCGTCGTCGTCTCATATAATACCATTGAATCGGATGGGAAGAGATAGTAAATATTAAATATCAAACATCATTTTTATAGCGTCATTGTAAAGGAACATTTTGAAATTGTAGTTTGGGAAGACACAGTGTTATTAATGACGTCGCAGGTAGTATCCTGGCATACAGTACACTATCACGACCATCTTTATGACAAGGTCTGGCCGAGAGCATCTTACTATATTTCTCAGCTCAGTTCAAGGGACTGAATGAATATGAGCCTAGAGATACTATAATTATTTCCCTTCATTCGCTATATTTACAAATAATAAACCTGTGCAAGCTATATAGTCTTGGTCGATATGTACTCCAGCATATGAAGCATGAGTAGAGCTGGAGAAAGGGACATCTTTGGACTCATGTTCATAAGTCCGATGGACTTCAACGAATGATATAGAGAATTATTGGAAAAAAAATTCAATAAGTTCAAGGTTTATAGGATGTCTCACGGAATAGTGCAGTTAGGCTGCTGTAGGTTCAATTTTACAACGCATCGATCTTATGACTATTGGACTGGTAAAGATAACTATCAGGGCAGCTCTTGCTTACTTGAAAGCGCAGTGAAACGTATAGCGCTTCATTTATAAAACCAACGTATTAGAAGACTGTGCTTATATGTAAAAATACAGAACTGAGCCTTAAGAGCTTGAGTGATACAATACAAATGCACAAACCTACTTCAGAATAGAGAGGCGGCCAAACGAAATTTTAACACCAGCGGCCTTTCAAATATTTCTTTGATCCTTGAATCCCATTTTGTCCTATTGGAAAAGACATGAATGTCGTTGTACATTCCACCCTTACCCAACTCCATTCCGTTCATTTCCAACTTCAGTCCATTTCTACATCATTTTATTCTCATATGTCATATTCTCCCATTATTTCATAATCGCCATCGGCAGATATAAACGATTCAAACTCGAACACTCCTACGCGGCATCAACTCAACCAATCGATTTGCCCTTATCACTGATAGATCATTTGAACACCAGGACCAGGTAAGTTGACTTTCGGTTATGGATGATAACATCGACCTTAGTGGTGAGCATTAATGTTCATTTTCTCCGGTGAATGCCTAAGTTCTGTAGACTCAAACTCGCCCTGCGACATCTATGAGCTCTCCAGTATACCGCTGCTGTCATGGATGACCGATTTGAGCATTTGGTGTAAATGGTACAGGAAGATGCATGCCATGTGTTTTTATGACATAAATACGTATATTTCGATGAAAGGCAAATTTACAAAAGGCAACTACGCTAAGGTGAGCTGCTTGATGTCGACGGCAAAGAGATACTGTACTTTATGCTCGTATTCAACAAATGAATTCTGAAATGTCGGCTAAAGATGCTCGTTTATGAAAAAATGAAAGCACCCATCCTTAGAACCATATCCGCTAGCAGAGTGTCAAGCCTAGCAAATTAGAGAAACATACCTCATGTTGTCAATGGTTTCGATGAATTACCGTTCAGAAATACAAATTTACAGACAATAATGAAGAAAACACTTCAAAGGTTGGACCATTGTGTCCAGAATGCAAAATGTTAACACCAAAACATAAAATTGAAATTGAAATTGCATAAGTCAGCTAATATTGATGAATGAAATATCGACTTTGTACACCGAATTTTCTTGACACTTACAGCAGATCAACATATATCATAGAAAACAAGGTAATGCTGCAAACAGGTTGCCTCGGTCACTGTTATTAACCTTAAGAACTACTCAATACCAAGCACTTAGCACTTGTAAAAAACTAGGCTGTAGTTAACAGTGTAAGCTATAGGCAATTTTTAATCACTTCGCTCCTAACGATTAGTGTTAAGTCCAACGGCCTACAACCTCCAGCTATGAGTGCTGTTTCATCTTTTCCTTTTATTTTCAATAGCGGAGTAAACCCGACCCACATCTTCTGATGGCACTAAGGGTAGAAGCATATGCGCTAACACATCTAAAGGGCGAAGTGCAGCAGAGATAGCGTGTTAGATACGTTGAAGATTGTCATCTTCGCGGATTTGAGACTTGTTATATTTACGGGCAGCAAGTGGAAGTCACTGTGGCGGTGTGTATCGGACTCCAGCAATTACTGGGTATTGTTCTACCATGTTTTTCCTGGTGTCCGCGTCCAGTACTTGAAGGAAGATATCTTGTTGTCCAGAAGGCATCAGAGAGGCAGGCTCCGGTGAGGGAGTCCAATCGTAAGATGGTCTGACCGGGAGATCATGTAGAAAAGGTGTGTCTGACATCTGCACCTCATTAGTGTTTGGAATTCCAGGGACACCTTGTTGTTGCATCAGCCTCTCGAGTCGACTAGTTTGAAAATCGATTAGTGACTTTTGTTGGATCAATTGATCTCTTAGTTCTTGAATAGTTTCTGGAGAGTCTTGTGACATGATTTTTAACTGATCTTTTTATCGACTTAGCGGTATTGAACAGCTTAGCGAGCGAAAAGATGAATCTATTTGGAGGTTGTTAAGTCCTACGAACAAGCCATATAAAAGCACTTTGCGCTTGAAAAAAAAAGAGACCGCAGTTAACAGTGTCAGCTATACCAGGGAGTTGACAAGGAAGGAGATAAAGAAGACTCTTTCCCTCGCTGGTCCGTAGGATCGCCAGGACTTGGCAAATGCTCTCCATAATATACTCCATAGCCTGCTGCTGCCCACTGCTTCGATACTGGGCATTCGCGCCATACATCCGTTGGAGCACCTCCATCGCTTGGTCCATACGCCATCGGCACCGAGTCCGAGCAGACGCTATACGTTGCGCGATGCGCCGTACAATCGGGCTCTCTTGCTCCTCATCCTGACGTCGCTTGAACGGAGTAGTAGACGATCATTGCAAATAAGGAAATTGTTGTTCGCTTCAATAATCCAGCGAAATGGAGATTCAATTTTCGTTGAGAGGTGTAAAAGTCGTCTCGATTGATCAGTTTGATTACTTGTTGGATGTTTTCCATCTTGGAATGTGGGCACTCGACAATTTGGTTCAAAGATCGCAGGTTGAAGAAGGGGCGGAAACCTCCACTCTTCTTGGAAATGACGAACATTCTCAGTCTTTTTGTCAGAGGAGCCAGTAGTTCAGAACAGTTCGGGATGAAACGCCTATAGTATTGCAGGATTACTATAAAACCTCGTAAAGCTGTGGAAGTATCGGGAATTCGCAGCATTACCTGACATGCTCCTACCATGCAAATGTTAGGAAAAGTTAACATCACGGATTGACGCAATAAAATATGACTTACACTTGATTCATGACATCCTGTTCCAGAACATGATTGGCCATCTCATACGGACGGATAAGAACAGGCTTGAAACGAATAGGATCGCGCACGAGCTGGTGCCAGAACCCGACTGACATGGTAGTACTCTTGGAGTCTGGCGTCCGTTAACCCACCCCGAAAGTTCGCTGTTACAGCATAGTTTCGATTACCGGTGTGGGGGGTATGGCCGGCCTGCCAATGGAACGCGTCCGACATGCTGCCGAGTGCTGGATCTGTCTCATCGTCATTTCCACCATCCCCGATCATCAGATTCGCCTCGGCGTTTGAGAATTTCTGTTGTGCGATACCCACCGTGATTTGTCGCCAAGCCCGGACATGGATATGCTTACCAAGAATGCGCTTCTCGGCATCAACCAGGACCCGCGTCATCGCATCCTCTCCCTACGGACCAATGTCGCGGGACCACAAGTAGTCAGAGACGGTTCCAAAGCCCGGTGCCTCATCATGGAGGAACGTACGGAACGGCTGAACTAGGCTAGAAACTGGGTAACGAGCTGAGCGACTTCCGGGAGAAGGTAACGAACTGGCCATCGATTGGCATGCCAGTGTATCTGTGCTGGTGGAATGTCGGTCTTGCCAATCCGGAAGCCGACTAGCCGATTCTCTAGCAATTCAACAACGGGACCTTCCATGTCATTCGACAGCCACTGGTCTCGAATATCAGCGATCATAGCACCAATGTCCGCATCCTGGTTATCCCCGGCCACCGCTAACACTTTGGCAAGTACCAACATCTTGCAGTCGTAGATCAACTGTGATAGAATCGATGTATAGTTCCCGACGGCCATCCACAAGGCTTGCTTATATACTGTGGGGTAGCGGACTGGTGGACCTGGTCTGCCAGAACTACTGCAAAGTACTGTTGGTATCGCTTCTGCAGAAATATCGTCTGTATGTATGCCTCATTCCATGGCATAGTCCCTTGATGCAGAACTTGCCACTGATGCTCTTCACTATAGTGTTTCCAAATCCGGTCTCTGTACAAGGTGATGAGGCTGAAGGGGATGTGAACTGGGTGTGTTCTTGAGCCGGGAGAATGAGAGGTCGATCCACCGCCAGTTTCTGTATCATCGGAAACCGTATTTAATCGAACGAAAGTCGCAGTCAGGGAAGTGGTAGAGGAAGCCGAGTGCGGCCGGCAGCCCGAGAATCTCGTTAGTACCATCTCGGGGCTGCACACCATCAGCACTAGAGGTAGCGATGTCGTTCAATTGACTCGACGATTCGATTCTCTGCCGCTCTCTACGTTTTCACTGATGCTTCTCTAAAAGATGCCGGGAGAGGTTCTGTCGTGTGTAGCAACAGCCGTGAGTGGTGCAAAGGATAACACGGAAAATCTGGCAGGACTCGAAGGTACCATGGAAACGCAGCACATTCTGCTTCCACCATCGATGCTGCGGTACCGTCACTGCGCTAAGACACCATAAAATAATCAACAAACTTGATCCTGCGAACAGAATGCTAATAGATGTAGTGATTCAGTTGTGGGGATATTTTGGACTGCGCCAAGACATAGTTAAACGATTAACTACTCTGATCTTACGAACAGACTGCAGTGCTTAAGGTAGTGGGGACAAATTTTGATTACAGCATGAATTTCAGAAGCCACTTCCATTTATTACTTTACGTCAGAATTTTTGTGTTTGTAAAATTTCTGAATCACGCTGTTGTCTACCGTCTACGATATGTTTGACAGTCTGGGTCATCCAAGCAATTCTTTCGAGAGGATATATCGTTTGAAGAAGCGAACGCACATGTTCGTGAAAGGATAATCCTAACGTCCCTCTCGCGCTATTGCGATTTTTATTCGAAGATATACGTACACCATACCTATATCTTTTACTCTACTATGGCAAGTTACGCTCAAGAAAGAGGCTCCACCTCTTACGCTGCAGCGCTCTCACCATGAAGACGTACTTCAAGTCGTCCAAACTGAACCAGCTCGCCAAACTCATACAGTTCCAAAGTTTTTCTCAATAGTCTACAGTGGGTATCCAACTTCCCAGCAAAGAAAGTTGACTGGTCTCTATTCTGCGAAATAGTACAGGAATCCATTAAACTCTCTCTAAAAGTGTATAATAACAACCATCTACTACTCCAAAAACTTAATACCCAAGTTACGAATTTAACTAGACGCTTCAACGAGAAAGACTACCCATCTTTTATCAACGTAAGCATCACCGTCCTCAAATTCCACTTCAACATTACCACGTCGCAAGAGGACAAAGACGCTTTCATGGAAGACCAACGTCTTAATATCGACAACTGCAAACTTCAAGCTTTGGATAAAAATCGTCGCGATTAAAACAGAAAGCTGCCTGGTAATTATCTATGCCATTCCTCTACTTTTGTCTGAAAAACTATGTTATATGCTCATCTATGTTATTCTATATGATGAAGGGCTACGGCTCTTGATATAAAAAAATCTCTTCTTCTCCTTTCTGACTGTTACTGATTTCTGACTGATTGACTGGACTGACTGTATAATGTTTCCTGACTGTCTCTTACTTCTGCCTCTACTGAAACTACGAGAAATAATATCTCGCAATACTCTCGCTATGCTGGAAAAATGGACCTTATTCGCAAGGCTGATAATCAGAACAATTGGGACGAAAGATGTACTCATTATATTTTCTCTGGGAAATCGCAACAATTCAAACGTGACAAGTACATGGTGGAGATAAGCAGGTGTAAAAACTTCAAGTAGTGGATCGATCGCGTGCAAGGCCGTTAATTGTATTCTCATTGGCAAACAAATGGATATTGGTGGGAATAGTAGAGTCAAGAAGTATCGAAATTGTTGTTGTGTCGCCAGCTTGTTTATGAACTTCTTGTTACTACATCGACTGCGGGATAGACAGTTCCCAGCCATCAATCAAGATTTTGTTTACGCTGTTTTTTACCAAACCATAGACCGCGGTCGCACCGCTGCCCAATGGATCAAGGATATATATCAAGAATTCCGTCCTCTCCTTCCCTAATAACCTACAACAACAGCTATATAGACATACACCCATGATCACCACTTTTGCACGCGAATACGCCACGAATTTTGTCAATCACATCTCTACCAATTTTGAGCGATTTACCACAAACTTTTTTTTGTCAGATTCAACGATGATTTTGATGGTTGGTTTTTGAGAGGTGTGTTAGTGGCCAGCAGACGCAAATTCGCCACATACGCATACGAAATAGCCGCAACTGGCGAGGGCCACTGGCCCATAATTCGCGAAACCCCTTTGGAACCACTTTTGATCGACAATTTTGTTTCCACCGTAGACCTGGGCCAACTCCCATCACCATCCAGTCATTAGAGGCCCATGGCAATCAATATCTGCCATGGCTATACCAAGTTTTGCAACGGCTGGAAAGGCGTGTCAGCTTACGAGAGCCGGTCCCACAAAATTTTGCCACAAAAGCATTCGTTCATAAGAGGGACTTTTACGCACTTAATAAACTTATTATCTGGCAAGGCAAGGCTTATATACTTAGCGTATAAGCAGATTATTTGAGAAGTTCGAGAAATGTGAAAGATCTACACCAAACCCAACAAATTTACACATGTAATCTCTGCAACAGATAAGCGTCCTCCATTACCTGTCTCCACTTTCTCTCCTACTCCAGTCTCCGTCCATTTTTTCCATTTCTTCTTCTTTCGTTCACATTTTTCACTTAACAGCAACGAGGCTTACTCGCTTCGCTGACGCTCGCTTTATTTACGCAATAAAAGTTTTTTTAAAGACATCCTACTTTTTCCATACACGTCATGTTTAACTATTCTGATTGATTCAGCAGTTAATAGTTAATTAGATCTCATTGTCATGAGTGAAAGAAGAAAAACTAAGCATTGTTTTGTCTCAAGGCAGCTATCGTTAACTCTTCATAGTTGATGCAATTTCAAAGATGAGTGCCTTTATTCTTGAAAACGTACATTTGTAGGCGAAATTGCGGAACTCATTTGTTCGACGCTAGCATAAAGTGCAGTATCTCTTTGCAGTAGACACCAACCAGCTCACTACAGCCGAGTTGCCTTTGTAGAAGTTGCTTTTTTTGTTGTCATGTCCGACAGTCACATGACTGATCAACCATAGATTCCGTTTGTTTCCATTCAATAAAAGACAGTTCTCTTTCAACTCATAAATAATAAGG